AGGAGGTCCTATAGGCCTAACGACTCTAGGCTTATGCAACTTCTTGCAAGGCCTGCTTTTTCACAAGTTAGTCTTTCCGTGTGGGGTACTTGTTACAAATTACCAACCCTGTCGTGCGTTGTTTCAAACGTTAGGTCCTTTCCTGTGGGGTGAATGATACAAGTTACAGACCCTGTCTGTCAGGGCATGGGCTTTCTGGGATTCACCCCGGGAACGTTCGTGGCTGATACTCTACCTTACATCCCCGCCCATCACTATAGATGTGAGAAAACTTCTAGTGTGGGCGTTACATAAAACTCTTTTAATCTTCTGTGCACTCATTACCACTATCAGACCTCAATGTAATGCTAGTAAAGATTCCGACGGTTTAACCGACGAAATTTAGCAACAGAAAAAGGAGGAGCTCAAGCTGCACCGCAGATCAACGGACTAAAGGAATAAATGAAGGCGAAGTTTAGTTGAAACGAGCTTTTCGCTGGATAAATGGTCTATTAAGTGCGGTTAAAACGACGACTGATAAAAGTAACTGTCTCCTTATCAGATGCATTGTGTTAGTTTAGCGCGTCAAGTGCTAACGCCAATGAAACAATTTAAAAGCGAAACGAGAAAAATGTAAAATTTTGTGACTTAAATATATTACATTATAAAAAAATGAAGTATTCCGGATGGAAGGTCTTTTCTAGTGCTATTGATTGTTCGAAAAGCAAAAGAGGAAATATCTGTGGTAATCTGATAATCAGTTGCAGTGTTATCGAAGAAACCAACGATGTGACATGCTGTCAGCTGACGATGCTGTCTATCTTACTTTCCGAGAATGGCAAGGAAGAGAAGTGAGATTTTCGGTACAAAACCAAGGTTACAGTTTACTGGTAACAAATGAAGTGTTCAGTGTGAAAATGAAAATATTTCCGTGGAAGGCAAGTGTATCAAGTGATACTAGCCGTAAATCTCGTTATTTGAGACGATCAATCGCGAAATGAAAAGAGATGAACGATTGGGAGGGCGGTGACCGAGTCGGGGCCTTATCGGTGAAAAATCGTAATGAATCGTTGGGATGTAATGTTTTTATGTCTTGGGTAGTGTCACGGTTCATGGAGGGGCCATTTTACGACGTTTGCAGTTACAAGGTGAAATCCCCAGCCAACTCAGAGGCAGAAAAAGCCTCCCAACCTTCCAAAAAGGATTAACTTGTACCGAAGCCAAGTCTGCAGGACAAAAAACTTCGGCTTGTGCATCGGCAGGTCAGAGAAAGATACAATATGGACCGGATCGCGTTCATAAGTCCCAAGGATTCTCGCTGGGAGAAAAGCTTGGCGCTTCCTAGCAGGAAATCGACTGGCTCTGACTGCTCTAACCTTGATCTCAGATCAATTCGCATTTCAGTTGTTCTTGTACAGACTTGCTCGCTTCGGATGGAAGGGGCGTGTCAGTGAGGCTGGGTTTGGCGTTCGGCCAGCCCGCTCTCCGCCAATTGTTGAAGCAGGTAAGCGACAACAAGTGGTGGAAAATGACTGGTATGAATGACATGATGTATAATAGAATGCCGGATAAAGGAAAAAGGGTTTCGCGCTGCGCTGTGCTAGTAATAAGAGAGGCATCATCCTTTAGCAGCTCCTTTTCATAGACACTTCCTTGGATTTGCGGCAAACTCGGTGATTGAGCCCATTTTTTAGCTCCGGGGGTGGAAATAGGAATCCGAAGAGACGTTTTCATAAGAGTCCTTGAAGTGATTTGGAGTAGTAATTGTTTGCTTATGACGAATACTGACGCTTAAAAACAAATTTCATAGAAATTTGCGTTATCCTGCACAAAAATCAAGGAACAGTGACGACTATGACGATGGAAGTTTAGAAATCGATTTTCATTTTTTCTCTGGTATTCTTCGGACCTCATGTGAGAGGAAACGGAAATGAGTTTGAGCTTCTCAGGTGTTCAGAGGTCGCATACCACAAGGGGTCCCCAGCCCGAGTGGGGTCGCTCCAAAACCACTGGCGGTTTAGATAGATCACTACAGTTCCTTAAAATTCTTTCGTTTTTTCATAAGAATCACCTAGGAGAAGTTATTTCTCGTCGGCTGTGGTCACCTGACAGTAAGTGGAGAGGATTTTTGAGGTCCTATTTCAGTATGCACCACGTACGGCTCGAATTAGCCGGGACCACAGCCAGAGGGCACTCATCGATCTTCTGGCTTTGATAAGTGTACTGACCTGAGCTTAAAGACACATGGTACGCTCAAACACATTGAGGGTGTATGAGACTATCAGCCCCCCAGCTGTCGATGTGTCGTGGTCCCCCGCCCAAAACTGCACGGGGTCAGAGTAGGACCGTGGGAAAGTCGTAATTCCTTGCTACGCCGCCCGTTTTTGCAAACTCACGTTTTTACTAACACCGTCGCGTGCAGCTCTCTTGGCTTTTTGCCAAGTCCTGTAATTGCGCTTTGGAATACAAGTACAACGCAATTTCTTTATGCGGATAACATTTTAGGTTGCAAAATAAGGTTCTGCAAAATAAGAACTGAAGATGATGACGAGGGCTAGAACTCAAGAGCAACTGTGCTGCTTCTGCAACAGCCCTCGCAGGCCGCGCATTCCCACAAAACATCAAAATAAAAACGGCCTAAGCGTCCCACTCGTTAGTTTGAAGTATTTCTATAGCATTAGAGCCGGATTCGAGCCGGATCGCAGAAATGCACACGCGATTTTAATTATTGTTTTATTTACATCTACATTCGTTGTTCTTCATTTCTAGCCTTTGTCATCTTCATCACCTTCTATTCGGACTTTGAAGCATGAGCAATACCTCAAATGTTAGGAAATTGCGTTTTGCTTGTATTGTCATGTTTTATTGTTGTCCGTTTTTATTGTCATGTTCTGTGGGAATGCGCGGCCTCTGAGGGATATTGCAGAAGCAGCACAGTTGCTCTTGAGTTCTAGCCCTCGTCATCATCTTCGGTTCTTATTTTGCAGCACCTAAAATGTTATCCGCATAAAGAAATTGCGTTGTACTTGTATTCCAAAGCGCAATTACAGGACTTGGCAAAAAGCCAAGAGAGCTGCACGCGACCGCGCCGCGCGGATGGTGTTAGCATAAACGTGAGGGCGGTGTAGCAAGGAATTACGACTTTCCCACGGCCCCGTACTCTGACCCCGTGCAGTTTTGGGCGGGGGGACCACGACACATCGACAGCTGGGGGCTGATAGTCTCATACACCCTCAATGTGTTTGAGCGTACCATGTGTCATCTTCAGAAGGGGGGCAAGGGGAAGCACGGTAGCCACGATGCTGGCTAACCTTGCGCGAATCCCCATCCTCCGTCCCCCCTCCCCCTGCTATATGAGGAGATGGTTAGTTTTTGTGAGCGAACCTGTCTCTGTGAAGCGGTGTTTTCAGAAAGGAATCCGAGTTAGTCCGGAATGAAATTCAGAAATATGTGGCCACAGCTTTCCAGTTATGAAGTATTCTCTGGTAAAAATAGCACTTTTCTGAAGGGCCCAACAAGTTTGGAATAGCAAAAATTCGTGGTATTCCTCTGTTTGTGTTATGCAGTGCAGTCAGACGATTCTCTCTCAAAAGGTCTGACACTTAGTGCTAATGATTGACATCGCTGAGGTGTAACCCAACAAAAACATGCAGAGAATAGTCCAGTGTCAGCCGTCGTTTAACAGAGCTTAGTTTCAAACCAGTGGGCAGTTCCTAATCTTGTGGAAGCGTACGTCCACCGGCTGTCCAACACTTTATTTGTTCAGGAATATGGAGGATGTCCTGCCGAAGGACTCTCTCAGAGTAGCGGCGCTACCACCTTTGTGGTCCCTCAGTGAAACTCCAAGAGATTTCTGCCTAGATCAACCAGGGCACAGCATCACTGGAGGAAAGCATGGGGTCGTACCTGCCCTTTGGGGAAGAGGGTCATGTTTGGCCCATAGTGGTTGGTCTTGACAGAGGTCTTCCCGAGCTGCGTGAGAAAGATCTCAGTGATTTACTTTTTGCGGTTTTCACCTTCGTATGTGTGTTACACTTTTGTTCGCTGCGAGATAAGGCGGGTCAGCGGGGCTGCGTTTGGCGCGGCGCAGCACTTCCTCCACCAATAATGGATGCTAGTAAGCTAGCAACCAATAGGTTGGCGCAGCGGCAAGCCCACCCCTCCAATATGCTCCGTCATTCGCAGCAAACAGCACCGTGTGCATCCTTCCCTCCCCCTTGTTGCCATCATAGTTGCCCACGTGGTCAGTGTTGTATAAATCACCACTTTGGGTTGTTGAAATTAGTTGTTCGATAACGACCTCATCGCACCCTCCCCCTTGCCCCGTCGAAGCATTTTTGTCCGAAAAACCGATCGTGAACCTACTTGCCTGCGCAATTCTTGGACCTTTTTCCTGCTTCTGTAGCAAATAGCGAACCAAACGTCCATGATAAAGTTTATTAGGAGACTTTCACCCAGAAAGCAATCGAACGATAAATCGCCGTTGCCAAGAAAGAGAAAAATTTGGAAATGTTAACAACAGAATAAAGCACAGAAATGTGTTAAACACTATTGAACTCCAATTATTGATTCGGAATTTGACCTACATCTGAATACTTTGTTTTTCCAATGGAAGTGTACTACATAGAGAATACACGAGTAAATTTCATATATACCATCTTCGATGAAGGAAAACATTATATTCACAAACGCTTAGGAAATGATGACGTATGCAAAGCAAAATAACTCTCGTTAGTTGAAACGCCGCCATCAGTGTATAAATGGAATAAATACATTTTACCGGTTCATCTAGCAGTTAACCCAAAGTTATCACAGTTTCATGTTGCACAACGAAGCGTAAACAACCCCAAATCAAGGAAATATAGTGAAAGTATTCGTGAATTCATTAGAAAACAGTTTCTTTATATGTCTGGCTATACAGTGACATCTGCTTTGACTTGGAAGCAGCACTTGGTGGTCACAGTTTTCGGGCAATAACGCTGAAAGTGAACCCAAACGATCGATATCTACTGGTTAATTGCCTATTTCTCCTCGATGGATGTAGGTTGCTCAACAGTAGGTTTCGGCATCGGTGTTTTTTCAGCGTCTGCTACGATCGCTTTCGTTTCTTTCTCGCCATTCGCAACTGCTGTCGAATTCTGAAGAAATGAAATTGATTTTGTAAAACATGAGTTATAGCCGATATCGTCGCAATCAGTGAGGCGATGTCAGCAGCTGACGAATGAGCGCGCCCGCGCTGCACTTTCCACCAATAATGATCGGCTATGGTCGCTCCCCCCTCCAAACTTTCTAGCGGACAACTCTGTGGGCAGCGAAAAATGCTCCATTAATTTCGAAAAAAACATAATAATATACCTTATTTCCACCATGACTTGTAGCGATAGAATCCTTCTTGTGCTTATAGATGACATCAGTTGTTTGAATTTCACCTGAAGTCGTTTACTTTGAACTGGCTTTTACAGATGACTAACCGTAACTCGCAAAATATTTACCGGTATTCAAATTGAAAAATCGTCCACGAACACGTCCATCTTTTTCGATCGGAGACCACCAGTTCACTAACGAGCCCATTATTGGTAGTTGTCGGATTACTCCCTAAAATACTTATTTGAGGAAGCTTTGATGTAAATGTACTGGTTTTATAATGTAAATAATTATTATAAATACAATGTAAATAATAATATCAATAATACACATATAAATTGTTATATACATACGTACTTATGTATGTAACGATTTATAATGGACTGACCTCTTGCTGGAGGCGAAGATCATTTTCCTTCTTGAGGTCCTCGTTAGCCGCTTCTATTCCTTGACGAATTAATTCTGCTAAGCTGTCCAGATACTGAAGTGTCTGCTATTCTGTACTCTAGTACAATACTTCGGATAAAAAATGTGAGGCGAAATTTTTCAGATGAGTCCACAAAACATCACCTGTTGATTGGTTTCAATTTCAGCTCCTTTGTCAGCGACCATTTTCAACAGATCAGCCAGGTCTTTTGCATCAGACAACATTCCGAATTTTACACATGCTAACTGAAATGGTGAAATTTGTCAGCTACTACTGATTGAAAGAAGGGGGGGGGGTGCATGAGGTCTCGATAGTGCAATGGATAAGCACGATTAATGGAGAGCTTAACAAAAAGTTCAAAACCTGCGCAAGGCCAAAAGTTTCGCCCATAATGCAGCACCTATTTTTTTCGTTTTTCAGTACAACTGCAATGAAAAAGGCTTGAAAAATTCGAAAAACAGGAAGCAGGGCTAGTGCCATGGTCTTCCGGGGCACTCTCGAGGGCAAATTCGGTGGCTTGATCCAAATGGCACTAGTGCGCCTGCAAAATAAACGCGGTGAGAAACCTTCAAAACTTCATTCCGGGAACCGTTCTGCAAGCGGCAGCGCTTGAACGCGCAGGCTGACAAATGGTCGGACCGACCTGCTAGGGTTCCCAGTATGGACGGGAAGATCAAGAAGATGGAATCGCATGACTGATTGAACCCGCCCAAACGATCAGCACGAAAAAGCATCAGATGCTGATGATATGGAGTAGGCCCGAACAAGAAAAAAAAACTACTCAGATCTTCAACTTAGCAACGAAACAGTAATGTTCCACTAACACCACGGGTTGAGCTTTCTCCAGCTGAGAATGCCGAGTCGACAGATCGCAACTGATGGACGAGTTCCAAGTTCATATGTGAAATCTAAAACAACCGGATCAGCAATGAATACAAATAGGACAGTTTTCCTCTCAAAAAAGGGGCTGTCAACAGAACAAGTAAGCGGCCGTACCTGCTGTTTCTCCTTGTCGTCCCATTCAGAAGACGACTTGTTGTTGATAATGGAAGGCACATAGCTGAAGAGAACGTAGCGTAATAAGAGTGATCTATAGAGGAGAAATGCACCACGTACTCACCAAACAGCTCCAACCCCGGCCCACTTGTGAACTGGAACGACGACCAATGAAGGATATTCGCTTTTCAGTCTCTCAAAGTTCTCTCTGGCAGCCACCGTTGAGTCAACGATTTTTAGTACGCCACCGAGAAGCCTTATGAACTGCTGTACATGATCAACGTGCGATGAAAGAGCTGAAAAGATCACCGCTTACAATGGACTTTTGGATCCCAGCAGGAACTGTCTAGAGCTATGAACTGAGCACTAATCAAATGGAAGGGTGGAAGGGGGGGGGGGGTGAGAGAGGCAAGCGGCGCAACTACGAACTCCGTGGCTACTGGGTCGTCTATCTCTGCTGAAGCCTTAATCTTGAGGAAGACATCTAGATGAACCTCTGTGTGGTCCCTTCTTCAACCAAACTGAGTTAGCGCTCTAACCTGTATGTAAGCAAGCTTGAAATTAGAAAACAAAAACAGTTTTTGTGTATCTGCATACCCTCTTCAGACTGCTGCGCTGAAAATTCCTATGTGATGGGTTACATTAACAATTTACGGCCCATTTTGATACCTATACGACAGACATGCCGTAGCTGTAGAAAATGAGGTTTTCCGCAACGGTAAAGTAGACTGTGTTTTAGTGGAAATCACACTCTGAACGGTGCATATTTTGCAGAGGTCTGAAGGCAGTGGGCACCATGACTGGGGGCGGGCAGTTGTCCACAACGTCACTGGTGGAAGGTTGAGCTGAATGTGGCCAGATACACTCTCTGAGCCCTTCCATTAATGACGTTGGCAACAACCGCCCGCTTCAAACAATCGTGCCCACTGTCTTCGATAGATGTTAAGTGACGCGCGCGGAAGCCAAGCGGTACAACACGGTAACGTTATTAGAACCAGACGAGAAACGAAGGCGAACGAATGGTGCTGTTACTGAGTTCCCAACAGTCGTTATCACTAAAGTTATTTGGGCGTGTCAGCAGATCGTGGGTTTTTGCGCGACGCCAGCCCGTTTCCCATCGATCGTTGCGGTTTCGGGCATTCGAAGAGGGATGGAAAAGCGGCTTCAGAACGTCTGTACATCAACGTTTTTGGCAGCGAAGCACCACGTGATGGGCCGTGTCGCGACCGCACACGTCAAAGTTTACACTTCACGTTTTGAGACAGGGAGAAAGTGATATCTGTACGAATAAATGAACAACATGCCACATTAATATGTTAATGAAGTGCTTTTTTCACTGCGGGTGATAGTGGACGGGTTTGGGCCTCCTGCTCGTTCTCCGCCAGTTTTTGTAGAGGATAAACAACAATAGTTGATGGAAAAGACAGAACGATATGGTTATAGTCTTGTCGCCTGCTCGCTTCAACAACAGCTGTAAAACGTGTTGGCACCGCGCCAAACTCATCCCACCTGACACGCCCCATCATTCTCAACGAAAAAGACTGTCAAAGAATAGCCAATGCCTGTTTACCTGCTGCGTGTTCCAGAGGGCAAAAACGGAACGCAGTTCCATAGGCGCCTCCAAGTTCGATCATATGAATTCCCAGCGACTGGCATTCCCCGACAACACCTTGGCCAAGCTAGAAATATTAATTTTGGTGCAGATCAAAAAGCGAAGCTTGCGAAATAACTCACCCAAGAGTTCAACGAATCCCCGTACTCCGATTCATCACGGAAATGCTTTTCAGCTTCAGCAATAGCTTCTTTGGTCACTTCAGTGTCCGGCTTTTGGGTTAATTCGCGGAGAGCCTACAAATCAATGCAATCAATAATTGATTGACTGAACTCGAAATGAGTGCGACTGACCTTAGCTGCTTCCTTTGCAGCATTATAACGGTACTTGAAAATAAGTACTGTTGGAGCAGTGTATTGATTTTTATAGACCCTAGTAACGAAATCGGCTGCATTTTCCATTCCGACAATTTCAATCTGAGGAAATGATGAGAGGCCTTTCAGCATGACTTTGCACTGAAATAAACCATAAGATTCGCAGTTACCAGTCAGTTTTAGTAGCGGCAACTTACAAGTAAGTAAGCATTTTCAATAATGTCGGAGATTCCTTTGCTGGTCAGAGTTTGCGTAACCACCCACCATGGTAATATATCCAATTTCTCGCGATAAGACGGCTTATGACCTTCTACGGTCCTGTATAAGGTCTAAAAATGGACTATTGCAGTCGAGTATACAAGCTATAGAAACATGAGACTCTGGCAGGACTCACTACAACAGGTGCTGCTGGAACGCCTAACCAAAGAGCAAGAGGGAGGGTAACGCTGTCCACTTGAGTAAGGACGTGCACCAAGACTTCTGTCGGCTCGCGAAGTGTCAAAGCTGCCACTGCCTGAATTGTGAAAAGTGAAACTATGAAGGCCAGTTTAACCTATTAATGAGTGGTATTGTCTTGATCGCTACGGATGAGGGGGCGTGTCAATGAGGCTAGGTCTAGCTTGCCGCCCGCCCGTTCTCCACTAGTTATTGAAGGGGCAAGCGATAAGAACTGGTGGAAGGAGGATTTTTGCGAACGATCTGATGCGGTCTTGTCGCTTGCCGAAAGTAAAAAGAAAAGGGCAGAAAGGGCTGACGCTGCGTCAACCCCCCCCCCCAAACACGCCCCATCGTCCACAGCGAAGGGGCTGAATGAGCGTTTGGTTTAATAGGATTGATACTAAATTGAGATACCGCTTGGTAGCGGTTCATTGAAACTATTTTTTTCACTACTGAATTGCCCAGGATTTATTTCAGGCCGCTTGAACCCAGCCCTTCGGATGCTAACCAGGGGTACGTCCTGCCGTTTGCAAAAACTGTACAAAATCGGGCCCCCTCGAAAGTTCCTGCTCTGGTATGACTCCTCCCTCCACCGACACCCCTCTCTGGACATGCCCAACATAGTACGTGCCCTGGTGCTATCAGTTTCTGTCTGCGCAATCATGCTGAAATAGCCTCCTGTGGATAGCGTGATCCATGCAACCCCCCCCCCCCCAGGGCACGTCTTGCTGCTGGGGAACATTTTTTTCCGAAATGCGCCCTTCCACTCAAAATTCTCTTTTGGTACAACCTTCCTACTTGTTACCCTCCTACCCACGATCTTCCTTCTTCCGGAATTTTCCCCGAAAAAAAAACTGTCGTGACGCAGGGGAAGGGGGAAGGGGCTGGGGTATATAGCGCCCACTTGAAAGAGGAACAACCAAGAGAGGAGGACAACCAACAAGTTTTTTTAAAAGGCAAATACGACTCTCCCCCTTTCTCGAACGATTGAATACAACCCCCTTGCTGAGGGACTTATACGACGTGTCCCGACTCCAGCTTTTCAAATTCTGTAAGTGGCTAAGGCACTTCAGAGTCCTCGTCCCCTGAAAAGCCCATCTCCGAATCAATGACGTGTCCTTGACAGCTTTCGCGGCTCTGACAACCGCTGCCCTTTATCTTTTTGCGTTGCAGCGCTTCACAGCAGGAGCATGGCAGAACGTTAAACCAGTTAAAAATCCGAGGTTGCGCCTTTACGAATTCCTTGTTAGGAACAACCCGATAACTTTTGCGATGATTTCCCTTTCAATATCAATGTGAGGCGCTCGCGTCAAAATATGCCTGTGATTGGTGGTCAAGAGCAACTACCAATGGTGAACAAGATGCTCTGAAGCCCCCGCGGTAGGCTCCACTGTACTTGGTCGTTTATTACTGAGAAGTCAGCATTTTCGTACTCACCTGACCAACTGTATGCAACCAGAAACGGTGCTTTTTTCGTGTTTCAAGTAATTTCGATACCATATCGTTTTGACCAAGAATTGTTGACCCAACAACGGCTATTACTACTAATGGAGTACGGCCAGCGGCGACGTCCTCTTCGAGAATTCGTTCAAATGCGTGATGGTCCTGAAAAGGAAACGATTTTTATCCATTCATAGTTTACGTAATAAACAGGATATAGCAGGAACTCCATTAGCAGCTGGAGTAATAGCTTTCCCGAGAAGGAAAGGGGACTCTGGCTGAGTTCACTAGTTGGATCTACAGCTCTAAATAATGGTATGGTTGGTATCGCTGTAATCAGCGGGCGGTTTCAAGAGGACTGAATGAGGCCACCTTCGGCGTTTTTTTTCATTGGTTGCACTCCTTACAAGATCGATCCCTAACCGACCACTACTGGAGGAGGAAGGCAGCAGGAGGCGGGCTCATTCCGCTTCTGACACCGCCCCGACCAACTGCGACAATAGCAATTATTTTTCAAACGGGGCTTCCACTGCGAGAAGCAACAGACTTGTCTCCGGAATAGGGGCAAGACCTTAGTTCGGGGAAGACCGATAAAAACACCACTTTATGAACCATCTCTCCCCACTAAAAAGCAGCCACTGAATCATTTTTTCTAGTTTCTCAAACAACTCTGAAGTCTAGGATGTTTGTGAAAGTTCTATTGAATTTTTTCCGCTGCGCTTCCTATAGCGTTTACTTGGAATGCAATTTTTCCACTGAAAACATTTTTGAAAATTATTTCGCTTACAATTCGTCCTTCGATTTCACTCATGTCCCCTTCGAGCTTTGGCAACAGTACGACATCGGAGATACCGAACTCTGAAGCGATATATGGAGCAAGATCCATGTGAAGAGCTGGCGTCACATAGACCACTGGAGCACCCTGAAATAACTACATTTTCGGGGTGAGTGACGACAAAAAGGATAACAGGATAAAGTCTTCGCCGTTGATCAATCCCTTTGTGGGATGCGGCACGCATTCTACTTCCATTCAGAATCGTAGTGGCTTATTGAATGCGATAAGGGCCTATACAATGAGTTGCGGGAATCGGCCGATGTGTAAGGCAGTGCTTTCACCCTCCCAGACGAACCTGAAACCAATTAGCCATTCCCGAAGGGTAGAAGGCTTAACTGGACTGGGCGAAAGCCGATCCAGGATTTGATCCCTGTGCGTGGTAAGCGTGCAACTTGCCAGTTATTCGAAGAAATGGCTTCAACGAGCAAGATCGGACAAAGATCGAACCATCCTTCAAATCGATCACCATCACAACGGGGAGTCTATTCAGATAAAACGGCTTACAAACTATCGCACAAAAAAATGAAAAAATAAAAAAAATTATCGAGCAGTGTACACCGACTTTCCAATTCTTCGTCACAAGTAAAGCGATTATACAGGGGGGGGGGCAAAAAAAGTCATTTTGCCTCCATGACTTTCAAGGCGCTATAAGTTACACTTTATTAAATTTTTATCGGACATTTTTACTACCATATTAAAGAGCACATTAAATACTATAACGATACTCCGCCACAGCCTTCTGGAGGAGCGCCATCGAGAGATTCGGCCGCGCGAAAGTGAGTGGGTACCGGAGTTGAGCGAGATCGTTGATTTCTCCGCCACTGTAGACCACCCTGTTGAGCTCCGCCCGAACCGAGTAATTGAGGGGGTTTAGTTCAGGACCCCCGCTTAAATACTCCATCTTTTCCAGGTACTCAACGTTCTTCCATTCCAAGTAGGCGAAAGTTTTTCCAACGCCCTTCGATTAAATGTGTTGTCACCCAATCCTGTAGCAGTACAAAGTTTCCAAGAAGGTACGGGCGACGACATGAAGATGGGATATTCTCCTCGAGTTGCTCGATGTAGCCACCAGCGCACACCCTCAGTCTGGGGCCCACGAAGAAAATATCGGTTCATCCATTCCAGGTACGGCCGGTCCACACCATCAACCCGCGCCTTGGTGAATGGGGTGAAGATGATGTCCTGGACCGTAGCGACGTTGCCGGAGCTGCTCGATGTTGAGGTCTTGCAGATCAAGAGTACTGGTCTCCAGGTAGCTATCCATGGGTGACTCCATCAAGAAGTTTCGCAGCTGTTTGGAGGTGACGTGAATTCCAAAGGCCTTCTCCAGTCAGGCTGCGACTGGAGATGACTTCATATTTTGGTGTACATGAAGGTGAATGGCGGCAGCCGGCTCCTGCTTATAGAGGAAGATCTTGGGTATCTTCCGCCCTGGTACTCATATCCACTTCCTCTGTCTGGGCTGCGAAAACTTCGCTCATATGTGACTCGGCCTTTTTTTGCCCCCCCCCTGTATATTTTAACGCTTAGCTTGTCTAGCAGCTTTGCAGGTTGACGAGAGGGTAGCGGGCACATCGTTGTTGGGAATTCTCAGGCGTGGGATGATACTTGCTCACTGCTGGGAGGGGGTGGGGGGGGGGGCGTGTTTTCCCGTCTGACTTTCGGAAAGAGTCTTAGAGAGGTTGCTGACCTTTCGTGGTTTTTCCTGTCTCATTTGTACTATACTATATATCCCTCCCCTTCCGCTCGACAGCCTGATGAGGAGGGAACCAGCAGGCGACTAGGGGTTCGTACCAACCCCCTAAAAAAGGGGGAGGGGGTCGTACGCACTCGAACAAAATTCCCAACTAATGATGCGCCCTGTAGAGTAGTGCTGCAGTTAGCGAGGGCTAAGCTTCTGCGCGACGAAATTTGCTCCACTGTGCTTCAAACGAGGTTGCGCACGGGCGTTGGTCGTCTGCACTCTGCCAACATCTTATTCGCTGCGGATGATGGGGCGTGTCAAGGGATGGGTTCGGCGCGACGTGTAACCGTTTTTGTCCTTCTGGTAAACGACAAGTGTGCATCGTCGTTCGTACCAGTCGTTTTCCAACAGTTGATGTCGCTTAGCCGCTTCAACAATTGCTGGTGAACGCTTTGGCGGAGCGCCAGAATCAGCCTCACCGACACGCCCAACAGCGAACGGTTGCACTTGCAAATCAATATTGCACGCGCCACTTCGCGTACCTAATGTACAGCCTTCATGTATGTGTTCATGTATTTGTAACTGCTTAGAGTCCTGACTAGCGTACTTTTTTTATCGTGTTTTTCTGAGGCTAACTTCCAATCTCTCAGAACGTTTCGAACAGGTTACTTAAGACTTTAAAAAAAATGTGGCTAATTGGGTAGGTATAGTCCTCATCATTGCAGCGATGACAGTCGCGTCACAGCCGAGTCACACGCGGCGCGGCTCACCCGCCCCACCGGTCTGCAATGATGAGCACCATATTTATTCCAGGAACCGATCGTCAGCTCTCTTCATGGCTACTTTAAAAAAATCCTGATAGAACTACCTTTTCCACGAACGCTTTCCATCCCTTGGTGATGTAATCGCTACCGTAGGTGTCCTTGAGTGCCAAACGTATCGCATGTCCTTAATATTTTCTAACATAATATCAGGTTTATATTTCCTTGAAAGCGGAAAAATTAATGGTCAAACGACGAAAGGTCGACAAACTGACCTATTCCATTTCTAACTGAAAGCGCCAACGTCGCCTCTGGTTCTGAGCAATGAATATTGGATTCAGGAAATCTGCAGCGAGTACATGTTAGTTGATCTTTCAACATTTTTTATGCGAAACCCGAAAACCGCGAAATTTGCAGGACGAGTCTACTGTAGTAATGCATTTATAAAATA